GTACCATTGAAACCGAGAACCAAAACAGCAAGATATAATTACTCTTGCCCCAAAAGTAAAAAATTTGGGGAAGGTGCCCATTTCCAAGGAACAATAGTTTATATTGATTTACGGTTCGTAATATCGCAACACGCTCGCCGATGTCATTGTGTCCCACATTCCACACGAGGTGTTTCCCACTCCACTTCTCCCGATCTCTCTCCAGATCCCCATGTTTATCCAGTCCGTGGGATAGTCCCCGTATATCAATTTTCATGACAGCCCCCCACCCCAACTATATGAAAGAGAGGGAAATGAAAATCCAATGAAATTCACAAGCCGATTCCAGAACGCAGTAGTTAGTTTAAAGTGCAGGACCACACTGGGACAATGCCAATATAAATGAAATAAAGAGTTCATAATTAAATGAAGTCACAATTGTAATTTAAAATTCTTCATGCTGATTGAACAGAAATAAGACTACGCCGAACAATTTGGGACTTTCTGAAGGGATTTTTTTGTTTTAATATTTAGTAATGAGGTACGTTATTTGTTTTCTTGTTAAGTGGAAATATTTGAGTAATGTGCTTTCTGCGTAAAAAAAAAATCTGATAAAAAGTTTTTTTTATTTGCAATGTCATCCTAAGCACACACACACCAAGATAAAAAAAAAATCCCCGCATCGCCTTCAACATACTGTTGGGGCGAATATTGTGAGCGAGCACCTATGAATGCCGGCACAGAACACGAAGAGGGGTGGGTGGCCAGCACCACGCCCGGCCGCCTTTGTCTCCCTAGTGACGCACCAGGTATTCATTTGAGGATCAGCCGGTTCAGATCATGGTCGCTGGTGTTGCTTGTGAGTGGGACTCGAACTCAGGTCGCCGGGTTTGTCGCACAGACAGACATTTGGACACGGGACATTTGAGCGATTCATGATGCCGTTACACAATAAATCACAAAAATGCAAGTGGTGTTTTTCAAACGTTTATTAACTTTGCACGTGTCATTAAATGACTGTATGGTCAAGTAAAATATTCATCAATAATTTTGCCGATAAACCAATCCTATTGACATATACATTTTTATCTTTAGACGTACAAATTTCCGTTAAAAATAAAATAATCGATGCACACAAATCGCAACGTTCAGATGTTTAGTGTGACAGGTGAACAAAAAACACTCACATATTCCAAAAAACACCAATTTACATATGTAAAATATAGCGGTTTATTATTAATATTATTCTTTAAATCTTTACAAAAACTATTTTTTTCTGTACAACAAAATTACAGAGATAGCGTCACAAACACTGCTTGGGTCAGAAAGGTTAAAGAAGTTGCCCGCGTCTTGCTAAGCTTTTACATTCGACTGAAAAGCAACGAGCGTGGCCTCAATCAGCCCACCTGGTTTCAAGTAAATCCAGACAACGCGTCACAGTCTAGAGCCCCGACCCGGGATCCCGGGTGCCACCGCCACGGCCTCGCTCTCTATCTCTCTGCCCTCCTCCCTGACAAGGCCCGCGTTGTTCTCTTGGCGACCGACGACGCCAACCCGACCTCGACGCGCGGGTCGCCACCGGGTTTTTTTCTGTTTTACCCACTAGGTAAATCCCTCTGAGCTCCGTGGCTCATTTTTTCAGAAGCGACCTGACTGCCGCAAATCGATACGTCCAACGAAGTGGCTTATCGTCACGTGGGAAATTTATTGCAGCCAAATGTGGAGGGGTGGGGGGGCGTGGATAACCCAAGGACCCGGAGAAAAATCCACATTGGCCACGGGGAGAGAGACACGCAAACTCCAAATATACAGCAGCAGGCGTCAGGGTCAGGATCGAACCCACGACCTCCTGCATACCAGGCGAGGTAGTTAACATCTCCTAGCCATCGTGGCGGCCTGGCCAGGGACCCTCGTCGCTATGAGTTGATTGCCCCAACAATTATGTGTATCCTTACCTGTGTAGTTCACGATAGTTCAATGTTAATGTGCCATTTTATTGAGAGGCTACAGTGTGGTGTTATTTTGGTGTGGTCTGGGGAATGTTTCCTTGCTATTTTTGCTGCCTTGCCCAATCTTGATAAAATCGTACTTATGTAACGAAAGTATTTAATTTACATTTTCATATTTAGTGACTTGCTTACCATTTTCCTTATTTTGAACTCCTATGGTGTGTTTTTGTTTGCTGTTGTAACTTCATGACCCCCGTGCCCATGCTGGACATCGGTGAAAAAAGAGCTTCATAGCTCATCGGATTCTTTCTCCAGCCTAAATAAATATTCCAATCATAATGAGCGCTTCGATTCAATCGACAAAAACGCGACAATAGTTGGGGGGACGTAGCAATAACGATACAAAACATTGTGTTCACCGTCTGGTTTCCACGTGTGAACCTTATGGCGGGACCCCGGGGGTCCCCGAATAAACGGAAGTCAAAATCGAATTTTTTTTTTTGGCCGACTCCGTCCCACCGCGCATCGAAACGCCACGACCCACCTGGCGCCGATCGTTCTGGTGTCGTGTCGTCCAAGCGCAGCGGCGAGGACTAATGCGCACAGGAGCTGAACAAGCGAATGCACTCCATGCTCGGGTATGGGCAGGATCACAACAAGGCTTATCCAAAGCTGCTCAAACTGCCTACACGACTTAAACATTTTATTTGTCATCACGGTATGCATAATAATAATACAGTGAAACTGCTCTCTTATCTTCATTATTATTTGTGACCTACCGATGTCTGCAGCCAGGATCAATCGATGAACAATCCTAGTACCTGCAGATATTTAACAGACGAGATGCATTGCACCGTTGATTCCTCCTGTTTGATAATACTTCTCTTGTCACTATGCATCTGTGCAGATAGGTTTTTGTTTTGCAGTTAAGCCGTAGTCCCCACATACCGCTCGTATCAATGCGGATAAGAGGAGCCGGGGACCCACTACTCTGTAGAGTAACATTGGTATACACGCTTGTTACAATATGAACAGCGCATTGAAAACGCGTACTATTTTATGTACTGATTAAAAAGTGTGTTCACAAATCCACACTGAGAAACACGATGATTGACAGAGGGGTGTAAATAATTTGTTCGATAGTGTATATAAATAGAGGTACTGCAGGTAAGTAGTTTTCAGTTTTAAAGGCGTAGTCTAACAAGACAACACCTGCCACCATCTTTCAAACCCATTGGTGAAACACCATCCTTCAAACCCATTGGTGAAAAAGAGCAAAGTTTTTGTTTACATTATAATATCATGCTTATGCGAGAGCCGGGGGCTTATGGGACCCCGGGGTCCCGTCATAAAGTTCATGTGCCGCTGGACGGGAGGTGATGGGCTTGACTTAGTGACAGCATCAAGTGCGCTCAAGCTCGGCGTGGCTATGGATGTGCGTGGGTGGGAGAGGCACACTCAGATAGTGGCATGGTTCAAACCATAACCCTAACATGAGTTATGATCCTACGTCTTGAAATCTCATTGATTCAACATGTTTTGGCTGCCCATATTTAGACACACACAAACACGTTTTTTAATCAGCATGAACTCATTTCTAAATGCAAAGGGCCCTGTAGAATGGGTATTTCTTTTTTTACTAGTTAATATTAAGCGTTTAGTTTTCCCAGAAAAGTTTCACTGGGTCTCAAGACTCTTTTTTTTTTACAATTTTTTATTCTACGAGGTAAGGCCCAGTCTCAGATAGTGCCATGGATTAAACCATAACCCTAACATAATTTATCATCCTATGTCTTGACATCTCATTGATTCAACATCTTTTGGCTGCCATAATTTAAAAACACGTGTTTTAATAAGCATCAACTAGTTTCTAAATGCCTAGGGCCCTACAGAATGGATATTTTTAAACTTATTATTAAGCATCTAGCTTACCCAGCGAAGTTTCACTGGGTCTCAAGACTCAGTTTTTTTTTAATTCACTATTTCTTATTCCAGTAGGCCCACTGAGCTATGTAGAAGCCCTTTTTCAGAAGCGACCTCGCCACAAATGATAGCTCAACGAAATGGCTCCTCATGTAGACATTCATAGCAGCCAAATCATCAAAAACGCGCGTCGATTCTAACTGTGGAGGGAAAAATCGGAGGACCCCAGAGAAAAACCCACGCGACCCCGGGGAGACAGAGACACGCACACTCCAAATATACAGCAGACGTCAGGGTCGGGATCACACCCACGACCTCCTGTATACCATCTCGCCATCACTTGGCCCTCACGAGGGTCCTGTCAGGTGTTTGCAGTCAGGGGCGATGTACCTACGTGTAATCCCAATTGAGTGATTTACAGGTCATTTTCTGACACTGGGACGTGTTGACCAGCATCGGTTACATTGTCTGTGGTTTTCGTTGTAGCCATGGGAAGGGGGAAACCCGAGGCCCTGGAGTGAACCCATGCAGAACATGGGAGGAGAGAACAGACGAACCAACTCCGAGTGGGGAATGGAACGCAGGCGGTTCTTTGCTGTGAGACACGAGCGTTAAACACTGCCCCACCCTGCCGCGCTATATATATATAAATCTCTTTTAAATATAAAACAGTAAAAACTCATCTTAAGACGGGCAAAAAAATTTGTGTTTTCAAAAGCACAGCAGGCGAAGAAATCGTGGGCGAGCGCGGCGTGTTCCCTGATTGCCGTGTCGTCGGGTTTCTGAAAGCCTGCGCGGCCGGAGGACATGGCGTGAGCAACCGCGTCGAGCGACGCTGACCCGGAGCACCCCCCCGCCCCCCCCCCCAAACTCTTCTCGGTGAGCTGGGGGTGGGGGGGGGGGGCACGCGGCCGCACACCGCCTTTGCCGGGAGCGGACCCACGCAGCGGCGGTTGCCGCCACCGCCACCTTGCCGGTAGAGAAACACTTCGCGCATCTCGGGGTGGAGGCGCTCAACGGCTGGGTCGTGTCGGCGTGGACCCGTCGCCCACCCCTCTTTTCCTGAGAGCGGCGAGTGGAACCGCCACTGTCAAGGATGGGGGCGGCCGGCCGGCCGTGAGTTTTAGTTTTTTTTTTTTGTTTGCCGCGTGGGGGCCTCGCATCCGCCGGCACGGAAGGCCGAACTTGCACAACTTCTGCCGGGCTTGGGCATATGAGTTGCCGTCTGTCCGCCCGGCCGATCGTCGCCTGCTTACCTCGCGCGAGCGAGCGGGCGGGCGGGCGGGCGGGCGTCATGTGCCGGCCAGCTGTGTCAGGTCCACAATGGCTTCTCCCTCCTTCAGCTTCCTGAGGAATGTCCGCTCGATGGTGATGTTGTGGTAGGTGGACTTTGGGAAGCAGAATCGCACGGGGGGGGGCGGGTGGGCGAGACGGGACGGGGGTGCAGAGAGGAAGCAGGAGCGGAATGCGTGAATCAATTACGGTTCTCGGGGTGAGATTCCAATTTCGAACGTCACCGAAGGTCACCGATGCGCAGGTACGTTGAGCTTTTTTTCGCGCCGTACGTAGCCAACCGCGCTAATCGGAGGTCCAGAGGTGACCACGTGTTAACGCTTCACAACAAGGGTTGAGAGCCTTCGTGCAGGAGTTTAGTTCGTCCGTCTGGCTCTTCGCCCGGGCGGGTCTCGCATGCAACAGCAGAAATCCAGTGTGTGTGCACGCTCAGACGCGAGCACGTGGACATCGCTCCCAACAACAATGATGCAAGAAAACGAGAACCTTCACTACCGGTGCATTTGACGCAACCGTGTAAATCGCTCGAGGTCTCCAACTTATCAAAGGAGAGCAGTGGGAGAATCGTCCCGAGCCGTGCCCGCGTTCCTGCCACGTGTCCCTACCGCGCGGCTATCCGAGTATCCCAACGTCTGCCGCGTCGGCGCGTGGCACCTTGATGATGGAGGACATGGTGTCCTGGCCGTAGTAGTGCACGGGGCTGCCGGGGGAGTTGACTTCATAGCCGAAGCCGGCGAGGTGCACCTCGTCGCAGAGGTGCAGCGCCAGCGTGATGGCGATCACGCCCGTCGTGGGGTTCTTCGCCTGCGACCAAGCATGCGCGCAGCCACGCGCCGGCGAGAGCCAGCAGATGCCAACACCGGGGGGAAGAAAAAGAACCACGAACGCGTGCGTCGATTCCGTAACGACCTCGCCTTCAACAAAAGCGCCGTGATTTTCCCGTTTGTTTGGGAGAACACGCGAGCGCGCGAGGTTGGGACGTCACCCAAGCCCGGCGAGAACAAAAGTTAGCGGCGCCTGGGCTGGGACACGCCATGGCCTGGAAGGGATGAAAGAACGTGAGTGCGTACGTACGTACGTACGTGGGACTTCTTTCGCACCGTCCGTAGCCCACCGCGCTAATCGGAGGTGAAGAACGACTTAAAGTTCCGCTGCCAAGCCAAGCAGCGGAACTTCGCCCGAGATGGTGAAGATCCGCCGTGGGAGATGGAGCGATGAAATCAGCTCACGGAGCTGGCGGACTGCGCAGGGCAGCGCAGCCGCGTTCCCGGGACCGTAACGCTCCGGCTACAAACCTTGCCCGACTTGGTGTCCGAGGAGATGTTGAGGAACTCCGTGGCGGCCTCCCTCACGAAGGCCGGGTTGAGGATCCGGATCCGGCTCGCAGGGAATTGCAGCTCCGTAGGCACCTTCTTCCAGAAGCCCCGTGGGCCCTGGGGTACAGGGGCGGGGAGGGGGCGGGGCGCGGTGGCAAACGACAAAGGTCCCCCGTGTAGCCTTTGGCACGGCGCACGTGGAGGTCCGGTGGGTGGCCGGTGCCACGGCCGGGCGCCACTTTTTTGACGGGGCGTGCGACGGCATCTCATTCGGCGGTCTTTAGAATCGGCTACAATAGCCACGCAGCCAGGCGGCCGGGGAAAATAGTCCCAGCCACCACCACCACCACCACCTTAGAACCACAACACCATGCACTTTTAAATCATCTTGATTGAAAACTAATTTCTTTTTGTGTTTAGTTTGTTGTCCTTAAATACGTAAATACATCGCCACGATCACCACGATTACCATCATCCTATACCATCACCATCATGATTACTGGACATCTGTGAAAAAGAGCCTCATAGCTAATCGGATTCCAGTATAAATAAATATTCTGATTCTGATTACCACCATCATCTACCGTTACCACCACCACAGTCACCACCGTCACCACCACCGTCACCACTACCACCGTCACCACCATCACCACCACCACCGCCGCCATCACCACCACCACCGCCATCACCACCGCCGTCACCACCACCATCACCACCATCATCACCACCAACACCACCGTCACCAACACCACCACCACTGTCACCATCACAAACACCACCGTCACCATCATCACAACCAATACCACCACTGTCACCACCACCACCACTACCACCACCACCATCACCACCACCACCACCACCACCGTCACCACCACCACCACCACCGTCACCACCACCACCATCACCAACTCCACCATCATCATCACCGTCACTACCACCATCACCACCACCACCACCACCGTCACAGTCACCACCACCGTCACCACCACCGAGCGCCGCAACAACTCCCCACCACGCGGTGGTGGTTGAGAACGCCGAGCAGCCACTGGAGGTCGCGCGTCTTGAAGGGCACGAAGGCGAGCAGCGCGCTGGGGTCAAAGTCCTCGCGCCGCACGTGCGCCGACTCCGGGTAGCAGAGGCGCATCGTGGTCCGGCTGCCCACGTCCCCCACGTGGCCACGCAGCGGAGCGTCGTTCATGCTGCCACGTCCCGACAGAGGCGGCACATCTCTCGCTCGTCACAATGGATTGTCGCGACGGTGTTTGTTTGTTGGTGTTTGTTTGTTGTTTGTTTGTTGGTTGTTGTTGTTGTTTCGGGGGGTGGAAACGTTTTTGAAGGGGACGGAAAAATCGGCCACGGGAAAAGGAGACGATTGGGATACTCGGGGGCGATTATTTAGGTAATCGGCAAATCAGCTCTAGTTGCACCTATAGCCTGAGATGCCTTCACATTGTTTAACTTGTCCAGATGAGGTCCCGCCAAATTTCACACCGGAGATACGAAACCCAGACACACTTCTCAGTCAGCACTGTGCCGTGAGTTGTTGTAAATAGATGAAGTTCAACACCAGATCTCGTTAACAAACCAATTCCAGCTGCCGCTCGAACAGATGTAGCGCCGATTGCCCGGACTGCACCTCGGTGGCAACCCTCGTGTGTGAGTATGCGAGTGAATGAGTAGGTGGGAGAGTGAGTGGGTGGGTGGGTGGGTGAATGAATAAGTGAGTTTATGAGTGAGTGAGTGGATGGGTGGATGAGTGGTTGAGCAAGCGAGTGAGTGGGTGGTAGGATTGTCACTTTTCCACAGTACACCGAACCAACAATAGGGTTTATTATCATCAAAGCTGTGAAGCAGCAACCCATAACGAAGTTCAACACAATAATACAAGAGTGAGCTGGAGGAGGAGCGGTGGGAATTTCCAGAACAGTCACGGAAGGAAAGTTGACAATGGCCTAAAGGGGCAATTGTCAACTTTTAACAGTGGCAATTGTTAATCTCTCAGCTCTGTCCCTCCCCACCTGTGGCAATAAGAGGGCGGGGGGGGGGGGTAGTGGGGGGATGAGGTAGGGGAGGTGAGGTAGGGGTGAGGTGGGGGGGGGCTCTATTGGGGGAGGGTGGCATAGGTTGTCGGGAGCCCAGGCGGGGCGACTACATAGGGCGCCACGGAGGCTAGGAGATGTTAACTACCTCGCCTGGTGTGCAGGAGGTCGTGGTTTCGATCCTGATCCTGACGCCTGCTGTGTATTTGGAGTTTGCGTGTTCTACCCGTGGTCACGTTGATTTTTCTGCGGGGCCTCCGGTTTTTCCGTCCACAACACGCGTTGAGAGTATGTTTTGCTGCTTAAATGTCCACGCGATAAGCCACTTCGTCGGGCTATCATTTGAGATAGCCAGGTCGCTCCTGAACAAAAGAGCTATATAGCTCAGTGGACCTTACCTGGTAAAAACTTTTGTTAAATAGGAATAGTTTAACTCGGGCCACTTCCTGCAAACGATGAGAATCTCACAGGGAAAGAGCTCTCGACGGCAATTAGCTTGCAAATGTGACCAAATTAATCGGCGCTTCCTGTATCCCTTGCTCGTCAAGCAAGAATCACCGCACGAGGCACGGCTGGGGTTGCCAACTCTCACCGAAGATTTTTTGTTAAAAGTAATTTAATTTATTTTCTTTAAAATCGCGCTCTATTTTTCAATAGCCACCGGAAAAAAATAGCCAGACAGCTCAGCGGCCCTTACCTGGTATAAATAAATATATATATAAATCGTTTAGTTTAGAGGTGCCTGTGTCGTGTTTGGTCGTGCGAAGTTAAAAGGGGGGCCCTCGTGGTGGCACAGTGATGGGTGGGTGGCGGGAGCGGTGGCGCAACGGTTAGCGTGCGTGCCCGGCTCGCTCACCGCAGGACGACGTCGTACGAGTCGATCCTCTTTCCCAGGCCGCTGCCCTTGAGGACTCTTCCGTTGCCCACGACGACGCAGCGCTTGCACGCCAAGCTGCGGCGCACAAGGCAAATATTCCACCCCCCCCACCGCCACCCGTACAGCCTTCGCAGACTTTCGTGGGCAAGTGCTTGTGAGCGACCAGCGGCGCTTGTCAAGAGCCGGCTTGGCTACGTTACGGGGCGGACGAGGGGGGGGGAGTGGTGGCCAGCCACCGCGCCCCGGCCGCCTTTGTCTCCCTAAGCGGCGAAGTTTACGCATGGTACCAGGTACTTATTTGAGGCTGAGTGGCCCTGCATGCACACACACAACAAAGAACGAAAGATCTCCCCGTAGAGCCTTAACAGACTGTTGGGGCAAGTGCTGTTAGGGAGCAGCAGCTGTGATGGTCGGCACGTCACACGAGGGGGGGACCGTGTGGCCATAATCACACCCGGCCGCCTTTGTCTTCCCAGTGCTCATGGGTTTTTTTTTTTAACCACCGCACCAGGTACTCATTTGAGGCTGAGTCGACCTAGGCCCCGTGCAAGTAACCCTCGCTTGTGTTGTTGGCGCGCGAGCGGCGGACGAACTTGTTGAGCCTCCCAGAAATGTGGCAGTTCGATTTAGCCGTAAACACGCGCGCGTGATAAACTCTTCACCCCCAGGGCTCGAGGTCGCAGTCCAACTGCCTAGTTCGGAGCTCTCACAGGTCTGCTCCAGTAAGAACCGAAAAAAGAAAATAGAAACCCCTCGAATTTCGTAACGCGTGACAGGTGACTCACTTGGATAGTTCCCGTGGCGTCGTTACGTTGACCAGCAACTTTAAAATCCACCGGATGGTCAGAGCATCTGGAATAAATAAAAAAAAAACGCAGAAGGAAACGAAAAAATGTACGCACACGCCATGGATTCTGCGACGCTTCAACACACGCAACGTGGATTCTGCGACGCTTCAACACACGCGCGTGGATTCCGTAACGCTTCTCCACGTGCGCCACTTGCGCTAGGAAGGGTTTCGGTCATCAACGGTGCGGCATTGCGAGCCGTGTCGTAACGAGATGACGCCGCACGTTGACGATTTCTCCACCGTGGCCGGTAATGGGAGAAGCCTTTTGGCACCGGTTCTAATCAGCAAGTTTTAGGCCAGGTTTTGATCAATTTGGCAGGTATTTCAACATGGTAAGTCTCATCTAATGCACACATATGAATGTGATAAATACTTATTTACAAAAGGAACACAAACACTGAGTCTCAAGACTCTCCTTTGCGAAGGCTCCTGCTGCATCAGCCTATTTGGTCAAAACCAGTCATATCGTCCGCTTTATGTATTTATACATTTTATCTATGGGAGGAAACCTGAGAACACGGAGAAAAGCCCATGCAGAACAGTGGGAGAACATAGCAAACTCCGCAGAGAAAGGCACTACGACTCGAGAATCTAACCCAGGCCCGTTTTGTCGCGATGCCCGCGCATCAACCACTGCGCCGCCACAATGCATCGCTCCACACGCCTACGATAATCTGTTTCACGCACGGTGTATGCATGTACGTCGGTCTTCTTTCGCACCTTACGTAGCCAACCGTGCTAATCGGAGGTGGTCACCCATCCAAAGCAAGCACAGTCCGGGCTTGTCCCCCGCCGAGCTTAGAGATCAGGTGAAGTCCCGGCTCGTTAAGTTACAGGCACGACGGTAATTCCCACAACTTCGTAATCGGATTGCAATCTGGTGCAGCACGGAAACCCACGGGGAGGCCTCGGGATGAACGGTGATGTCATCTCAAGTTTTTAATCCCAGGTCCACGGAAGTTCTGGATGCTTGCCCGCAGGAACCCATGTAAATCGCTACGGGGTGGTGTTCGGTTTATGACGATCCGCCGCATTTACGACGCGCACGTAAAACAAAATATGCCACCGCGGGATCGTTTTACGGCGACGCAGAAACTTTTTACGTGGATGTTTACCCAAGATTAATCCTCCCCCACCCCCCGTTAAATACGACTCTACATCGGCAAATGTTGATTGTCTCTCGACTGTGGGAGAACGGGGCGCGGTTTGCGACGTTTCGATTTACCGCGGGGGTTTCCAGGAATGCATATTGTGTGTGCCTGGTTAAAATAAAAAAAAAACACGCAGTTTAAGTCGAGTTCTCATCTGGTTACACAACACAAACTAGAAACTCTTAACGTGCGTCGGTATTTTGGGCCAACATTGGTCAACGCTGAAGTGGTGGCTTTCACAACAACGTTTGAGTCTTCTTCTTTGGTTCTTTCGGTAAAGTCACGTAGAATGAGAATAAAATAATAAATTGTGAGAATATTATTGCGTTATTTTATTTATTTTATCAATTTATTATTTTGTTCTCATTCTACGTGACTTTACCGAAAGAACCAAAGAAGATGAATCATTGCAGTCACGAAAGCTTTAAATCTAAATTTAACGTATGAGTCTGCGAACGAAGTTTCAAAACTTTAAGAAGGGGACCCCCCCCCTCCGCCACCAACCCAGTCGAACATGGTGTAGCACCCCGGAACTTGTCCACACTTTGGCGACACGGGACCCAACGTCCGCTTTGTGAGACTTGCCAAAGGATACGAAGGCTAGATTTTATAGACGAGTATTTCGGCTGCCCATGGCATATATATGCCTACACAAACCCTACATAGAGTCAGTAGTATCTGCTGACTCTATATGTGCGTACACACACCCTACATACAATAGAGTCAGTAGTATCTACTGACTCTATATGTGTCTACACACCCTACATACAATAGTCAGTAGTATCTACTGATTCTATATGTGCCTACACACACCTTACATACAATAGAGTCAGTAGTATCTACTGACTCTATATGTGCCTACACACTCCCTACATACAATAGTCAGTAGTATCTACTGACTCTATATGTGCCTACACACCCTATAAACAATAGAGTCAGTAGTATCTACTGACTCTATATGTGCCTGCACACCCTACATACAATAGAGTCAGTAGTATCTACTGACTCTATATGTGCCTACACACCCTACATACAATAGTCAGTAGTATCTACTGACTCTATATGTGCCTACACACACCCTACATACAATAGAGTCAGTAGTATCTACTTACTCTATATCTGCCTGCACAACCTTAATTTGTCCTCGGAGGGAACGCGTGTGTCACTTCGAGCCAATTACGAATCTAAACATTTGAACACCACGTATTTATTCGGACATTCATGACATGAAGCGTCTCTCTCTCTCCTGCTCTCCAGCCAATCGTCAACCAATAATGAAGTCCGATCAACAGCAAGAGCAGAAGTTGTGCAATGACTCATGCTGGTGGAGGGAGGTTGGAGCGGTGTGAACGCTTTTTTAAACTCACTCTGCTGTCTGTCTGTTGTTGTTGTCGTTGTTGTATCCTCAAATCTTGTAACTCAATTGTAACCCACTTCCCAATGTGGTATCGACTGCAAACTCGGTATACTTATGTCATGCTGATGACAATACTATATTCTATCATATTAAAAATATCTATTTTTAAACATTATTTTTATATGTTATGTTTCGGCTTGAGTCTAATTGTCCACGGTCAACCGACGTTGGCTGTAATTGGTCACGGTCCCCTTACGTTATGGCAAGCTTCGGGGCCACTTCCTGGAGTCGTGGAGTTCTGCAATTACTAGCACGGTACATTTCATAAAAGCGCGTGTTTTTTTTTTAAAGTTTGTCTTAATGTTACTTATTTGTTTTGCAAAGCGCGACGGGAAATCCCAGAGGGATCTTACGGACGGCACGAATCGCGCGAGCCTCGGCAGAAGTCACCAGGCTGGTTCGCGAGGATGGCCGTGCCATTTCCTTGATGCCCCGACCTTTCGTACTGCCTACAGTCGCATTGCAACAAAACAAAAAAAGACCCGTCTTTAAGTTACCCAAACAATTACAAAGCCCTCGACACATTCCTCGATAATGCTGTGACCTTAACAGTGTATGGCGCTCCAGGCAAATGTCCCTTTTCACGTGACGATTGTGATGAGTGTTTTTCTTGTATTATTTGTCATTGAGCACTGCATCAAACGTGCATCACCAGATCATATGTTTAGACGTAAATACAGAGTCAAACACACTTCATGGCTAAATATAACCACCACTGTGGCCGAACCTTTCCTGTGGTAGAAATTCCACATTCCTTTGACAGGTGCGGGTAGGGTGAACAGTATTCTAAGTGACCCCACGCACACGCAAGCGGCCCCATCGTTGTGTGTGTGCGTTCGTGCAGGAGGTCGTGGGTTCAGTCCCGACTCTGACGCCTACTGTGTATTTGGAGTTTGCGTGTCTCTCTCTCATCATCATCATCAACATCACGGTGGCTAGGAGATGTTAACTACCTCGCCTGGTATGCAGGAGGTCGTGGGTTTGATCCTGACCCTAACACCTGCTGCTGTATATTTGGAGTTTGCGTGTCTCTCTCTCATCATCAACATCACGGTGGCTAGGAGATGTTAACTACCTCGCCTGGTATATAGGAGGTCGTGGGTTCGATCCTGACCCTAACGCCTGCTGCTCTATATTTGGAGTTTGCGTGTCTCTCTCTCCCCGTGGTTGCGTGGACGCTTCTCCGGGTCCTCCGGTTTTTTCCCTCCACATTTGGAATCAACGTCACGCGTTCAGGGTATTTCGCTGCTGTAAATCCCCACGCGATAAGCCACTTCGTCGAGGAGGCGTTCGTACGACACACGTGGATCACGCGACACACACGTGGATCACGCGACACACGTGGAGCATGCGACACGCGATCGTACGACACGTGCGATCGTCCGCGGCGCGCAAGGAGCGCCGCGACGGTGACGAGCGGTCGCGTTCCGCCGCTCCGGCACTAACCGGCGGGCGCTCACCGCTGGGGCGCATGCGGTACGGCAGCTGCTCGAGAGCGAAGGCGCCGTAGTTGCGTCGGTGAGACCGCGTCGCCTCCGCCTCCACGTCCTGCAGGCCCAGGAAGGGGCTCCCACCCAGCGCGCTCATGTTCAGGCTGCCGGAGCGGTGGGGGCAGGGAGGGAGACAGTGAAGGAATGTTATCTCCCTAGCCCGGTATGAAGGAGCTCGTGGTGTTCGATCCCGACCCCGACGATGCCTGATGTATAATGTATTTGGAGATTGCGTGTCTCTCTCTTTCTATATCTCACCGTGGTCGTGTGGATTTCCCCTCCACGTTTAGAATCAACGTTACGCGTGTTCGAGCGTTTGGTTGCTGATCTAAATGATCGCACATGACGAGCAACTTCGTTTTGCTATACCAAAATAAATAAACTGAAACTGAAAACTGGGTTATCATTTGTGGCCAGGTCGCATCTGACAACAACTCAGACGGCCTTACCTAGTAAAATAAAAAGTGTTTATATTTGTAAAAGCTAAATAAATGATAAACACACTCCGCTAACTCATGGATGAAATAAAGCGGTGCAATTATTAACTACGAGCAGGAAGTACCTGGCTTTCACCCGGGGGGAAAAATACATATACTGTATTTCAAATCTTGTCTTCTCTTAAAAATATAACATATACAGACACATATACTAAGCTATTTTAAAAGCCCGGCGTTCCGTGTGTCTGACCACTTGTTCGCCAACGAAATTATAAGAGCCTTACAGAAGGCCGGAATCAAGAAGTTAGAGAAAGTGGTGGGTAAATAGTTGATCTAAAAGGTTTCCAAAAATTGTGTAGATATATACATCTACACATCCTTACTAATTGGCCTTGTGGTGGTGGTGGCGGGTTTATATTTATGCGATCTACCCCCCCCGCCCCCCCCCCCCCAAATAAAAGCCTCTATCACGGATAATATTTGGTGGCGAAAGCCTGCTGCTACGCGTTAGCCGGTCAGGTTTAGCCTTCGATGTGGGGGCCACATTTGCTGTGGGGGCATCTGCGGCCTCCTGCAGAGGTCAGCATGAGCAAGAGGGCTGAGCTTGGCACGACGGTTGTAGTTTCTGGACTGCGGCTGCTACGTGCCACTTGAGGATTATTGTTTTTTCATTTTTCTCCCAAAAGTATTTTATTATCAACAAGAAGATTCAAGTAGACAACGCCACAGAGGATGTGAAAGGGGGGTGGCGGTGCGGGTGGTGGTTGACCACCCGCACATTGAGGATTATAGTACAATGGAGACCTGCTGTCTTAAACTGCATGTTTCATTAAACCGTTTCAATAAACTCGACATGCCCCTGGTGTCTTCCGAAGCTCTGATGACACTATAGGGAAACGATGGAGGGGTGGGGGGTTTCTCAATGCCCTCATGAATGCTCTTAAGAATCAATGTCCACTAGAGGGGAGGGAGTAAAGGGGTCAAATGTTTGCTGGTCAGCTTCCTCCCTGCCTCTTAGTTTGGCACTTTAGATGCTCCAGATATGTTTTTTATCATTTGCAGTAAATGCTGTGCTGCCCTCTCTTGGCTGACAAGTGGCGGTGACTTGTGGGCAAGACTTTTTTTGGAGTGTTGAGTTTATCTGGAATATTTAACCGTTAAAGTTTATTTTAATTTTATTTTAGGGTTAGGGTTAGGGTTATAGGAATAGGTTTTACCCTTTTAACTGGCACAAAAACTGACACCTTTATTTAAGGCATCATGTTTGCAATGACCACAACACAAGCAGTCAAAATGCAAACAAAAAAGGACAACTCTGATAATAATATGCACTGTCCTTGAATTTGATTGGTCAGTGCATATTATTATCAGAGTTGTCCTTTTTTGTTTGCATTTTGACTGCTTGTGTTGTGGTCATTGCAAACATGATGCCTTGAATAAAGGTGTCAGTTTTTGTGCCAGTTAAAAGGGTAAAACCTATTCCTATATTTTGTTTCTGGCAAAGGAGGTCTCATAATGGTGGCTCGTCGTCACGTGCGAATGCACAGCAGCCAAACCACTCTCAACTCGTGATGTTGATTCTAAAATGTAGCGGGAGAAAAACCGGAGGACCCGGAGAAGAATCCGCGATGAGAGAGAGAGAGAGATGCGCAAACTCCAAATATACAGCGGGCGTCCTGGTTGGATTCGATCCCACGGCCTCCTGTGTACCAGGCGAGGTAATTAACATCTCGTCACAGCGACACCCTTTATCTGAATTGTTACACGGATGATGATGATGATGGTCCCGTGTAGCCAGTTGCCCGGCTATTATACACGGGAGATCCGTGGTGGTGCGCGAGACAGCAGCGACAACAACAATAACGAAAGTAAAACTAATCTTACAAACTCAGTGTAACAACAGAGATAGGGTGAAACTGGACAGTAAACTATGTGGGCAGTGGAGCAAAAGCACAAGGAACAAAACAGTCAACACATTGGCCAGTGACACTGCCGTCAAACAGGATGACAGCTGTACCATAGGCAACGTTCCAGGCAATGGCCCTTATTCATCGCTGCTCATATTAAGTTCGAATGTTTTGACGGTGACGAGGTGGCTCATGGTTCTAACGTCAGATGCACGATTAGTACAGGGCCCGGAATTAGGAAGCCACTGGAGCTATGCACCTCCAATTAGCACGGTTGGCTACGTACTGTGCTAAAGAAGTTCAACATACATTAGCACGGTTGGCTACGTACTGTGCTAAAGACGTTCAACATACATTAGCACCGTTGGCTACGTACTGTGCTAAAGAAGTTCAACATTCATTAGCACCTTTGGCTACGTACGGTACAAAACAAGTTCAACATACACATACATTAGCACGGTTGGCTACGTACTGTGCTAAAGAAGTTCAACATACATTAGCACGGTTGGCTACGTACTGTGCTAAAGAAGTTCAACATACATTAGCACGGTTGGCTACGTACTGTGCTAAAGAAGTTCAACATACACATACATTAGCACGGTTGGCTACGTACTGTGCTAAAGAAGTTCAACATACATTAGCACGGTTGACTACGTACTGTGCTAAAGAAGTTCAACATACATTAGCACCGTTGGCTACGTACTGTGCTAAAGAAGTTCAACATTCATTAGCACCTTTGGCTACGTACGGTACAAAACAAGTTCAACATACACATACATTAGCACGGTTGGCTACGTACTGTGCTAAAGAAGTTCAACATACATTAGCACCGTTGGCTACGTACTGTGCTAAAGAAGTTCAACATTCATTAGCACCTTTGGCTACGTACGGTACAAAACAAGTTCAACATACATTAGCACGTTTGGCTACGGACGGTGCGAAAGAAGTTCAACGTACGTACATACGTGAGCACGGTAGACTACGTACGGCGCGAAAGAAGATCAACGTGCATTAACCAGGGCGGCCTCTAGGCTCGAACCGCAGAGCGGGGTGATGGAGAGGGGGGGGGTCACTCACTGTGGGTAGAGTCCCTGGAGCTTGCGGCGCACGTGCAAGGGCCGACACGTCCTGGGGCTGACCGTGGTGGCTTCCGCCGCGTGCCTGCCGGCAGGGGGAAGGCGTGGAACGTCAACGGACAGGCGTCGAGCCCCGGGCTCCCCGCTCAGGGCCAGCACCGGGGACGGTGATTTGAACCGGCCCTGGGCTCCTCCCCTAATGAGTCCGTGGTGCGGGTGTGTGGTAAACATCGCCGCTGGGTGAGACAAAGGCGGCCGGGCGTGGTTTGCTGGCCACCCGCCTGCTCGCGTGCCGTGCCGGCCTTCATAGGTGCTCGCTGACGGCACGTGGCCCAACAGTCTGTTACAGGCTATATGGGAAATGTATGTCTTACATTCTGTAACGAAATCACCTTCGGAACGAATCCATCCGATCTCACCGGATCTCGGAACCTAAGCAGAGATTTAATTTTTTGGGTCCTGCCAAATATTTTATTGCAGTAGGCGGTGGGTCAATGTTTGCCAAATTGAGTCTTTTTTTCCGGGTAATATTTAAAACTTGGCAAAAAAAAATAATGTATCCCGTGACTCCGGCACGCAGTGTCCTACTCTTGCGAATGACGTCAAAGGGATCTTTAACGTCCACTCGCGCTCTGTTCGCACCGCGGTATTCATCAGGGCGGCCGCTGGTATCGAACCGCGAATCTCAGCTCACTGCAACGGCGCTATCGCTGGGCCGCGTCGCGCACTGCCAGTGGAAAAAATAAAAGGCACTGAACCTGATTGGATGGGCGATCACCAGCAGAGGGCAGTGCAACATTGTCCAGCGCGGTCCAAATGTATTGTGATCCACCCCATTGCTCTTATTAATTGACCCAGAACAAGTTTTGTTTTACCCCGTTAGTATATTCATTTCTGCTTTCAATAAACTTTCATTTAAAATAATATATTACATTTTAAAGAAGTAAATGGACGTCACAAGAGTACAGGGCAGTGACGTAGTGACTACATCATCAGTGAAGTAGTAACTAGATTATCAGTGGCGTAGTAACTACATTATCAGTGGTGTAGTGACTACATTATCAGTGGTGTAGTAACTACATTATCAGTGGTGTAGTGACTACATTATCAGTGGTGTAGTGACTAGATTATCAGTGGGGTAGTGACTACATTATCAGTGGTGTAGTAACTACATTATCAGTGGTGTAGTAACTACATTATCAGTGGTGTAGTGACTACATTATCAGTGGTGTAGTAACTACATTATCAGTGGTGTAGTGACTATATTATCAGTGGGGTAGTAACTACATTATCAGTGGCGTAGTAACTACATTATCAGTGGCGTAGTAACTACATTATCAGTGGTGTAGTGACTACATTATCAGTGGCGTAGTAACTACATTATCAGTGGTGTAGTAACTATATTATCAGTGGTGTAGTAACTACATTATCAGTGGTGTAGTGACTACATTATCAGTGGTGTAGTAGCTACATTATCAGTGGTGTAGTAACTACATTATCAGTGGTGTAGTAACTACATTATCAGTGGTGTAGTGACTACATTATCAGTGGTGTAGTAGCTACATTATCAGTGGTGTAGTGACTACATTATCAGTGGTGTAGTAACTACATTATCAGTGGTGTAGTAACTACACTATCAGTGGTGTAGTAACTACATTATCAGTGGTGTAGTGACTACATTATCAGTGGTGTAGTGGCTACATTATCAGTGGTGTAGTGACTACATTATCAGTGTCGTAGTGACTACATTATCAGTGGCGTAGTGACTACATTATCAGTGGTGTAGTAACTACATTATCAGTGGTGTAGTGACTACATTATCAGTGGTGTAGTGACTACATTATCAGTGGTGTAGTAACTACATTGTCAGTGGTGTAGTAACTACATTATCAGTGGTGTAGTGACTACATTGTCAGTGGTGTAGTAACTACATTATCAGTGGTGTAGTGACTACATTATCAGTGGCGTAGTAACTACATTATCAGTGGTGTAGTAACTACATTATCAGTGGTGTAGTAACTACATTATCAGTGGTGTAGTGACTACATTATCAGTGGTGTAGTGACTACATTACCAGTGGTGTAGTAACTACATTATCAGTGGTGTAGTGACTACATTATCAGTGGTGTAGTGACTACATTATCAGTGGTGTAGTGACTACATTACCAGTGGTGTAGTAACTACATTATCAGTGGTGTAGTGACTACATTACCAGTGGTGTAGTAACTACATTATCAGTGGTGTAGTAACTACATTATCAGTGGTGTAGTAACTACATTATCAGTGGTGTAGTGACTACATTATCAGTGGTGTAGTGACTACATTATCAGTGGTGTAGTAACTACATTATCAGTGATGTAGTAACTACATTATCAGTGACGTAGTAACTACATTATCAGTAGTGTAGTAACTACATTATCAGTGGTGTAGTGACTACATTATCAGTGGCGTAGTAAACTACATTATCAGTGGCGTAGTAACTACATTATCAGTGGTGTAGTGACTTCATTATCAGTGGTGTAGTAACTACATTATCAGTGGTGTAGTAACTACATTATCAGTGGCGTTGTAACTACATTATCAGTGACGTAGTAACTACATTATCAGTGGTGTAGTAACTACATTATCAGTGGTGTAGTGACTTCATTATCAGTGGTGTAGTAACTACATTATCAGTGGTGTAGTAACTACATTATCAGTGGCGTTGTAACTACATCATCAGTGGCGTAGTAACTACATTATCAGTGGCGTTGTAACTACATCATCAGTGGCGTAGTAACTACATTATCAGTGACGTAGTAACTACATCATCAGTGGTCAATTAATTGGGAGTCACAAGACATCTGGACCACCCTGTACAAAATCGTTGTGCTGTATTTCTATGCTCCCATGCCATTTGGCTCCCCCGTCTCCACCGAGCCGCACTGACCAGCGATGGTGAATCACGGCCAAAAAAACCCTCTCCCGACGTCGCACACTGCGTGTGGAGGCCCTCATCCAGCAGTGGATAAAGGTCCATGTGCGCGCGCATGTGGAGGCATGGGCGCGTCTGTATGGATGTTGAACTTCTTTCGCACCGTACGTAGCCAACCGTGCTACGTTTCCGAAACGACCACAAATGCCATCAACGGCGGGGTATGGGGTAAGGGGCCGTCCATGAATGACGTCACGCACCTGGGGTGGGGTCAGACATTTGTGACGATGTGTGACGAGGTGGGGGGGGGGTGTTAGGGTTTGAGAAATGTGACGTCACATCAAAATGCGCAACTTTAAATAAATATAGACAACACGTTCTACTGAATTAAATATACTTTTAAATAAATGTTTTCTCCTACGACATCAGAGTGCAGCGCCACATTGAATTCGCAACTACAATGACAATAAATTTTGATTTAAAGCTTTCGTGACTGCAGTAATTCATATTCTTAGTTTTTTCGGTAAAGTCACGTTGAAGAGAAACAACAAAATAACAAAATATATATAAAACAATAAAAAATTCTCACGACGTTTCGACCATAACTCAAACGGTCATCATCACCTGATGATGACCGTGACTTTACCGAAAAAACTAAGAATACAATGACAATAGTTTACAGCGATTTGAAGCATGTTTTATTTTTGTTTGGGGCGGGGGGGGGGGGCAGATCTTTGTGACGTCATATTTAAGGGGGGGGGGTCTGACTTTTTGTGACGCCGCGTGACGAAGTGGGGGGGAGGGGGGGTCAAAAATCGTCAAAAATTGCGTGACTGACGTCATTTATGGACGACCCCTAAGCGGGTAGGCACTGTGCTATAAAGGGTTCTTTAAAATGTCCAAATGATGGAGCACTTCGTTGGGCTATCATTTGTGGTATCCGGGTCGCTTTTGAGAAGTAAGTTTAACACCTCAGTGGTATGATGGGGGATAGTTTAGTTTTATTTTAGTAAGTGTTTCGGTGATTTGTTCACCTTTGTTGTACTTTGCACGGCTGTCGTGTTTCTGTACTGTTTGTTGTTGTAACGTTCTTACCCGCCCCCTGCTGGACATCTGTCAACAAAGAGCTTCATAGCTCATCGGATTCCTCCAGTAGAACTAAATATTCTCGTTCCGATTCTGCTCAGCAACACGGAAGCCGTTGAAGCTGTTTGTTTGTTTTGCTTGCCGATAAGCGGATCTGCGGTTGGCTGAGCGGCCGTGTGTTTAGACTTCCCGCTCGCTCGATTGACCGGCGATCAACAAAAATCCCGTCCGGAGTGGAACCAGGACGACAATCCGCCCACGCCACATCCTCCTCCTGGGAGCACGCTCAGGCGTTTTTTTTTTTTTACGCGTGCGTGTGTCTGTGTGTTTGCGTGTGCTCGCTAACAGCACTTGCCCCTACAGTCTCTTAAGGCTATACGGGGGGATCTTTGTCTTTGTTTTTTATTGTCTAGTGGGGAGAGGTAGTGTAGTGGTTAACGCTGCGCTACAAACACGGCCAACCCGAGTTCGATTCACGCTCACGGCCACCAACGCCAGTGACGATTTTTTGAACCGGTCCTGGGCGTCCCCTAGGTCGACTCAGCCTCAAATGACTACCCGGTGCGATTTGTAAACATCGCCCCCGAGGGAGACAAAGACGGTCGGGCGTGGTGTTGGCCACCCACCCCCTTGTGTGCTGCGCCAGCCTTCACAGGTGCTCGCTAACAGCACTTGCCCCAACAGTCTGCTACAGGCTATACGGGGGATCTTTGTCTTTGTGTGTGTGTGTGTGGCACAATAGGCGATACAGCTGGCGGTACATCTACCGGTGGTCATCTCAGTCGGCCGACCCATGGCACCTGCCGGGTCTGTCCCGTGACCTCCTCCTGTCAACGAGCCTCCGACACTTCACGTGGTAGCCTTAAAGTGCACCTAGCCTGGCACAGGCGCCGTGGTTGACGTGGCCGTCACCTCGTGGCGAATTGCGGTTGTGTTGGTGTTGGTGTGTGCGCGCGATTCTAAAATACTCACGTCTTCTGCGAGAACTGAAATCTTTCCCACAAACCCTTGCTCGTGTGTTGGCTCGCGGTGCCTGCAAAGGGAAGGCAACAAGACGTCAGCAAGGCGCCATCCTAGGGACTAGACTGGCCCTCGCCATGGCAATGTGGAATTTCCACCGGCGGTTCAGCGCCGCCCATTATGGAGAGAGTCGCGCTGCCACCATCACTTATCCCGAGAAGAAGCGCAGTCTGAAGTTAGGGGAGCAACTCAAGTCTGGCAACGACGCGAGTGACTCACAGCAGGAAGATGCCCGGGTTCGATTATCAAACTCGGGCATCCTTTCTACGCGGAGTTTGTACGTCCTCCACCATTGTTCTGTACGGATTTCCTCCGGATTCTTCGTTTTTTTTTTTTTCCCATAGTAAGCAAAAAAATAAAACCCCCGTACAATGCAACTTGCGTTGAACAAAACACTCCCAATTGATAAACAAAAAAACACCACATCCCATTTATATATATAAACAAAAATCCCATTGGCAACATTCCATTGATATAACAAAAAAAAATTACTTGGAAATAGTTTGGATTGTAATTACGCAGCCGACAGCAGCAGCACCACCCCCACCTGTGACAACTTTGGCTGCACCCTCCTTAAAAAAAGAAGGGTCGTAGAATGAGGGCTTTTTCACTCGTAAAGCGTAATGACCGTAAGCACCCAAAATAAATAAATCAGCATAACAAACACAAATATATATTTATACCGAAATAAAAACCCCTGGCCGGAACACACCGCGGATTTATCCGCGCGCTATTCAAGCCGTGCGCCCTATACAAGGCGGGCGTGTGTTAGTATCCTCGAAGATCTGCAACTACTTACACGAGTGCTAAATAAATAAGCGGACAATGAAATCATCGTAATAATCATTTCATTTGGTATAGCGTCATTCATGCGAATGGCATCCCGTAAGGCCGTAAGTTCACTATGAACGAGGACGAAATCCCTTATACAGTCACGGCTAGCAAGCACATGGAAAACCCTAGTAGTAGCAAGCAAAATACAAATGAATTTACAAATTAAGAAATTACACCCCAAAAAAAAGCACAAACAACAGCAAGTGATCACAACAACAACGTCTCCTCCCCATATCATTTTCTCTACGCGTGAATATAAAAATAATAATAATGCACATTGCCACTGCCTTCCGAGAGAGTAGAATTTTAGAAGAATTGGTTAAACCCAGGCAAGCGATTTTTTGTTTTATGTGGTGGTATATATACGTGAAGGAGGCCCATTGTTTGCTAATGGCATTGCCCCGAAACGTCGCCTCTTGTTTATATTTTTTTCCCATTAAGGCCATGGTGTTGTTGACAAACGAGAGTTGATTTGTCTGTGGTGCACGTCGCACCCATAACTTTTCTACCACACCCACAACCCGCCGCTCCTTACGAATTTCAACGATGTGAAAACGAACCCAACGCAAGATACGAGCGCTTGAATGTTCCACTGAATATTCTCCCGGCCTCGCGGGTAGACAAAATCGTAGCCGCAGGCCCACAGCAAGAGGTGTACTATCACATCCTGGACGTGGTGTGCCGGGTTGCAGAAATATATTTTTTTTGGTCTGGGACACCTCCCCCTTTACACACCCGGATGAAATTGAGTCCTGTCTGAGACCCTAGTACGTGACAAATCGTAGCCACAGCCCACTGCTGGAGGTGTACTACACATTGTGGATGTGGTGTGCGGGGTTTCAAATATGTTGAGTTCTGTCTGTGACACACGGCTGAAATCGTAGCCCTGTCTGAGAACCCTGGCCACATAAAACCGAGTCGATTTCCGCAGCACATTACGAGATGCGGTTTAGGGCATTCGGTGTTTATGAGTTACGCGCCAACTCGTGTGTTGCGGGACGCGATACAGATGCTACAAATGAAACATTTAAAATAAAAGAAGACAGCTAAATGTTGTCATACGGTGTTTCTGCCAGCCCCTGCGGCAATTGCTGTCGGCAATTTGGACTCATTTTGTGTCGCCCGGTCCGTTTGTCAGCGGCGTCGTTCGTGCCGCGTGCCCGTCCCGCGAAATGTTTGCGTCGCATCGATCGCGGAATGAACGGATTGCCATCGTTAACCTCGTCGTCCCTCGCCATCCACGGAATCGGTCCCCGGCCGAACGACGCCGAACCGATTCGGGGCGATGTATGCCCGCCCGCCCGCCCGCTCGCCCGCCCGTCCCCGCTTGCGTTGTTCAGACTCGCCCCCTGTCACGTGTTTTTTTTTTTTGGTAGGAACGTCGGCGAATTTAAATGTTCTTTTGCCTCGAACAGAGAATAGAGCTTGAAATTACAGGACTGTCCCCTCGCCCCCCACTCATTGAGAAATGTATATTTAATATACCTCTCAAGAGAGCACAAGGTCGTCTATGAAAAAAGAAAGATGCATCTCTAATTTGTTTTTCGATGACTGTTTATGTTTTATGTGGCGTCGTCGTTCATGCAAATCGCATCTCCTAATCGCCGAGGGAGTCGGCGCTTCCAACGATTGCCCGGGGCTTTGTAGTCCTGCATTGCATTCGGGTCAGTGCCAGATTAAGCTCGTGCGGGGCCTGTAACATATGTTATAGAGGGGCCCTAAATGACAACAAAAAAAACACGTAAATATTAAAACACAATTTTTTTACTTATTCTTTGGGTCTTTCAGTAAAGTCACGTAGATAGTTTGAAAGAAAATAACAAAAAACTACGACGTTTCGATCGCATCACAAGCGTTCGTGATTTTTCGTTATTTTATTTGTACCTATCGACATGACTTTACCGAAAGACCCAAAGACAATGAATTCCTACAGTCACGAAAGCTTTAAGTCAAGATGTAAATGTTTTACTTGCAAAGTAATTGTATTTTTTATTTGCTATACAACCAGATAATACGACAAATCGCTAACCTTAAACACCTAGTCGTTCATAAAAGTTGAAGGCATTATAGTACTATAGTAATAAATCAAGTGCAGAATCATTGAACTGGAATTGATCGCTTCAAATAATTTAGCGCGGAGCCTTTGAAAGTGCGGGGCCCGTAGCATCATATGTAGCTACTACATATGCAGCTACTACATATGCAGCTACTACATATGCAGCTACTACATATCCAGCTACTACATATCCAGCTACTACATATGCAGCTACTACATATGCAGCTACTACATACAGTGAGGGAAAAAAGTATTTGATCCCCTGCTGATTTTGTACGTTTGCCCACTGACAAAGAAATGATCATTCTATAATTTTAATGGTAGGTTTATTTGAACATTGAGAAACAGAATAACAACAAATAAATCCAGAAGAACGCATGTCAAAAATGTTATAAATTGATTTGCATTTTAATGAGGGAAATAAGTATTTGACCCCTCTGCAAAACATGACTTAGTACTTGGTGGCAAAACCTTTGTTGGCAATCACTGAGGTCAGACGTTTCTTGTAGTTGGCCACCAGGTTTGCACACATCTCAGGAGGGATTTTGTCCCACTCCTCTTTGCAGATCTTCTCCAAGTCATTAAGGTTTCGAGGCTGACGTTTGGCAACTCGAACCTTCAGCTCCCTCCACAGATTTTCTATGGGATTCAGGTCTGGAGACTGGCTAGGCCACTCCAGGACCTTAATGTGCTTCTTCTTGAGCCACTCCTTTGTTGCCTTGGCCGTGTGATTTGGGTCATTGTCATGCTGGAATACCCATCCACGACCAATTTTCAATGCCCTGGCTGAGGGAAGGAGGTTCTCACCCAAGATTTGACGGTACATGGCCCCGTCCATCGTCCCTTTGATGCGGTGAAGTTGTCTTGTCCCCTTAGCAGAAAAACACCCCCAAAGCATAATGTTTCCACCTCCATGTTTGACGGTGAGGATGGTGTTCTTGGGGTCATAGGCAGCATTCCTCCTCCAAACACGGCGAGTTGAGTTGATGTCAAAGAGCTCCATTTTGGTCTCATCTGACCACAACACTTTCACCCAGTTGTCCTCTGAATCATTTAGATGCTCATTGGCAAACTTCAGACTGGAATTTATATGTGCTTTCTTGAGCAGGGGGACCTTGCGGGCGCTACAGGATTTCAGTCCTTCACGGCGTAGTGTGTTACCAATAGTTTTCTTGGTGACTATGGTCCCAGCTGCCTTTAGATCATTGACAAGATCATACCGTGTAGTTCTGGGCTGATTCCTCACCGTTCTCATGATCATTGCAACTCCACGAGGTGAGATCTTGCATGGAGCCCCAGGCCGAGGGAGATTGACAGTTCTTTTGTGTTTCTTCCATTTGCGAATAATCGCACCAACTGTTGTCACCTTCTCACCAAGCTGCTTGGCAATGGTCTTGTAGCCCATTCCAGCCTTGTGTAGGTCTACAATCTTGTCCCTGACATCTTTGGAGAGCTCTTTGGTCTTAGCCATGGTGGAGAGTTTGGAATCTAATTGATTGATTGCTTCTGTGGACAGGTGTATTTTATACAGGTAACAAGCTGAGATTATGAGCACTCCCTTTAAGAGTGTGCTCCTAATCTCAGCTCGTTACCTGTATAAAAGACACCTGGGAGCCAGAAATCTTTCTGATTTAGAGGGGGTCAAATACTTATTTCCCTCATTAAAATGCATATCAATTTATAACATTTTTGACATGCGTTTTTATGGATTTTGGTGTTGTTATTCTGTCTCTCACTGTTCAAATTAACGTACCATTAAAATTATAGACTGATAATTTCTTTGTCAGTGGGCAAACGTAAAAAATCAGCAGGGGATCAAATACTTTTTTCCCTCACTGTATGCAGCTACTACACCAGTAGCTACTACACATGCAGCCACTACACATGTAGCTACTACACATGCAGCTACTACATATGCAGCTACTACACATGCAGCTACTACATATGCAGCTACTACACATGCAGCTACTACACATGCAGCTACTACACATGCAGCTACTACACATGCAGCTACTACATATGTAGCTACTTGTGCAACTAGGATAATCCGGCACTGCATTCGGGCGTTTTTTCAGACAATTAATGAGCGCAGCGTTGCATGTGCGAGGAAATCTGAGCAGCCG